CATGTATGAATGTATATATATTCATTTGTGTGCATACTTGGAGGAACTTATTGGAATTGTGAGGCCGATCTGGGACGACTTCAGCTGATAGCATAGAAATCTATGCATGAATATACTGAACCTTGATGAAGCTATCAATACTGATTTCGTGACCAATTCTCGCACACACGAGTATGTGCATATGTGAACAGGAGCACAGACCAATTAATTGTGTTTCGCCGAAAATTCATTTTTGTTGACCGTGGCGATTATGCGGTTCGACATCTTCACTTGGTCTTAGTTTGGAGTTGCCATGGTAGCATATATATACATGCATATAATAAGTGAGGTTGTAATATTAATTTGTGTGAATCGAGCATAAATGCAACATTTGTTGCTCCTGGCGTTTCGTATTTCCTGTAAAAAGTCGCTCTATGCTCGACGCAAAACAGATGACATTCCAAAATGATAAAGGCGCCATTCTGGCTCGGACAAGACAGTCGAAGGTAGTGGATTGAAGTGTTAATGGCTGTAGAGCGAAAGACGCCAAAGGAGGAGTCATGTCGATCGTAAGTCGAGATGAAATAAAACACAACTTACAAGACAGGGCTTTCAGCTCGCCGTCTCTGAGCATAATGGCTCTGGCGATTCCGCCAAAGTCCCTCGACTGAAGAGTGTCTCTCTGGAAGAGCCTCATCATAGCCCATTCCAATGCATTCGGCTCACACTCTGCTGAGCGGTAACAGCATTCGTGATAATTGGCTGCGCTAATTGGATCCTGATTGAAGAGAAGATAAAGAAACGAAAAAAAGAAGTCCCTGGAAATAGAGAAAAAAATATTTCAGAAACAGTAAAGCGAGACTTCTATCTTACTCGTTGTATTAACACTGCCAGTAATCGGGACTGAAATTTGGTAAAATTCATCTTTGATTCTACTGCTTAGCTTCAGCCTTAGAACCTCGCGAAAATCATGTATCTAGATGAAACGAAACATACACTAAACTTATAATATAAAAAATATGCTGTATCTATTTACTTACGAGTAGTCTGTGAATCAGCGGCATTATCCAAGGACCAGTCCAATTTGCAAATTTACCTCCTTGCCAGGACACCGCATCAGTTAGCTGAGATTTAACAAAATCACACGAATCACTGCCAGCCCCTGATCGTCCATCCGCACAGCGGTCGGACGGAAAAAAGTGTCAGTTGTCTTTAAATTCTCCTTTACAAAATGAATAAGTTTCACAATTATTTACTAACCCTCCAATGAGAACTTGATCCAGACTTGGTCGTTTGGGAGGGCCTAAAGCCTGTGAATTGCATTTCAGAATATTAAATGAGTAAATATGATGATTTCAACGGTATTTCGCCAGTTAATCACATGCCTGGGCAATTGCACATATATATACATCTATCTCCCTAAGCGTTCATACCAAAAGCCAAAATCCACGTCCTTATCTCACATCTGCATCAAATATTCACCTTCCACACCTTTCCAAATATACATCACAACATTAGAACAGCACAACGAGATCACACATCCACAAATAAAGTAAGCGTGGCATATTCACAAGCCCCGACAACAAACATTCAAATATCAAATCGACTTCCGAAATAGCGAGCCCACATCTGCATCGACTTACAAAATTCATACTCAAAATCCACACCTGCATATCGCGATGTGAAGAGAGTGACCAAATCCCAGTTTTTTATTCCACGTCCACATTCTATATTCAAAAATCATCTCACATCGCCATCCCACATCTTTTCCCCACACCCTCTTGACACGCCCATAATCAAAATAAATATTCAGAACTCGCATTCTAATACACATTTCACACCCGTGTTCCACAACTATGACCAATATGATTATTACATATCCACTTCCACCACCCGCAAATCACATCCTCAACCAAAACCATTTTCAACTTCTACATCTCAAATTAACAATCCCCTTCCACACCTCGCACATTCACATCCGAATCGTTTTTCACAAGTCCAGATTTCACACTAATAACACACACATGCTTCGAAAACATCTCCTATCCACATTCTATTTCCACCATTCAAATTCACACAACAGACTCTTATGCCAAATACACATCCCATATCAATATATGCAGGATCCACGTCCACATACAAATATACATAAAAATTCTACTTCTCGCATCGCCTTCAAGTAACTGCAATCCGAATACATAACATTCTACCCTGTCCAGTTAACATATCACATTCACATTTCACATCCTGATAGAAACTTTTT